ATTCCTTTTTTGTAGAAAATGCATATAACAATAATCCTTCCGTTTAATTTTGCATCCTCTCACGTCATCACAAAATCTCAAAGTGTTTCATATGAATTTTTTTTACTAAAAAATGAAGTGACTGCGTATCTGAAAGTAAACATGGCAGCCAATTTTTGCACGGCAATGTCCCACAAACAGCCATGAAGTGATTTATGGATTTTATCTGGAGGATTGTTGGTCAGGACACCAGAAGAAACTCCCTTCTATTTTCACCTGCCAGCATGGAATCATTACCCTCTACCTGAACAGGTAGACAGGGTCTCAGTTTAACATTTAATCCTAAGGATGACACCTCTGACAATGATTATACAATTATAATTATACAAGTGTAATTTTTTGTTGTTGTAGATGTGCTGTAAATTTCTCATGCAATGCTCTCTGCAGCACTGCATAAATGTGTCAGTCTAGACTGTGAGCTCAAATTCACTGGAGTTTAATGGAAGTCATGGTAAGAATATGAGGAAGAAAGCGATCTGCTCTATAAATCTCCAACATAATAATCCTTGCATTTGATATAGCGCTTTTTGTGTCTTCTAGATGGCTCAAAGCGCTTCACAAAATATACTGGAAAGTGAACTGACTATGTATTTTTGTGTGGGCGAAATACAGCAGCCAATTGCACACAGCAGTGACCCACAAACAGTCGTGGATTGACTGAGTAAATTATTATTGTTTTCTTTGAAGGATTATTGTCTCCGGAAAAGCAATTCACCAGTCGACTAACAACCGGATTCCTACTTACTGTTAGGTAAACAGATGCGTGTGGAGTAAGGAAACTTGCCCAACATTTCGCCTGCTGGGAATAGAACCCAGGTCTCTCTCTTGCGAAGCGAGTGCTCTAACTACTGTTTGTGCCATACAGCCTGCCCCAAGCAGCCTCAGACGAAAAGGTTAAACAAAAATACATGTTATTGGAACTGCGACTGATTTTAAATCGGGGCCTTCGTGACTTGGGAGATGGAGCGTGAAATGAGTTGACTGTCTTGTGTGTTATACCATGTTTAGTGCAGTCAGAGCTGCGGAGGTCAGATAGGATTTCTGTTATGAACACTGTCTGCTAATTAAGATTCTGATGAAACGAATGGAGGGATTCAACAGTAAGGTTGATTTGTGCAGGGAGATCAGTGACTGTGAACAGTCCATTCATAGGTTCTAGCAGCTGCTGGTCTGAGTGAGACAGCTGAAGCAGAAATCCATTAAAGGAGCTGCAACCAAAAGGGAAATGACAGAAGAGGAAGAGGCAGGAAGAGGGGCAGGTATTTGGTAACAGCGAAAATAAACTTTAAAAACAGCCAGGAAGATTGATGGATTAAGGCAAGGTGGGGGTTCAGTTATCTTTATCACCTTTGTCAAGGTCGTCACTAAGCACCAGCTTTGTACAAATAAAGTGTGATGTTTTTTGGGGTGAAGATGAAGATGATAGAGGCGACAAAGCGCTTATAAAATAATGTTAGAAAATAAATAACACTTTTTCACCAAAGACGTCAGAAATATGGCTCTGGGCGTCTCAGGCCAGTTTGAAAGCTTGCGTCATTGGGAGTGTGTTAAAAAGGAAGCAATTCAAGATCATTTAGTGCAAAATAAAGCCAATAATTCTCAACTCACGTGAAATTACAAAAGATCACACCAAAACGATTTATTGAATTCTTTGAGGACGTATAAGAGTAATGGACTGAATGTGATGATAGCAAGGCTTTCTTTAACCAAGACATTTGATAAAGTGTATAATAAATTACTGTGCTAAAGTGAACCTCAAGGTACCAAGGAGGACGCTGCATATAATTAGACTGGCCAAACAATAAGAATAAAAAATGTGTCTGATTGAATATTTTGGGTGATATATACACACACATAGGTTTTGAATATTTTACTCACATTCACTATTTTTAACTGATCTAAAAAAAAATGTTTTATGTTACTTATTTAACAGAAATAAAAGCCTATGAACAACAACAACAAATGACAGTTGTATGGTACCTTTCACGTCAGGAGGACGTCCCAAGGTGCTGTTCTGTCTTGCAAAGCCTGACTTATCATTACTGTCACTGCTATCATGGGTTGAAGTTACCATCTCATTCACAAATGCAAAACTACCTCAGCAACCTTGAAAACCTGCGAGAGAGGTTTTCCCAGTGTAGCTATTATTAAAATAATAATCCTTGCACTTGATGTAGGGACTTATCACATCTTCGAGACGTCTCAAAGCGCTTCACAGAATACGCAGCAAAGTGAATTGACTGCATATTTTGTGGGCAAAATATCACTATTGATGCTCATTGCAACACATTCACTATATGCAGGATTATCAAAGGCGGCAGCTCAGATTCGGCTCCTAAAAAAACACAGATTTCTTCCAAACTCGTGTACATTACATTATTCTAGAACAATAAAAAGCCATATCTATAGCAATAGCACAGTAGTCAATGCTTGCTTGGCAGTTAATTTTATGCATTAGACTTTTGAACGGATTCAAGTTTCATTTCTATTAAACCACTCGAAGAGGTGAATAACTGGGATTATTTATGCTTTGGCACAGTAGACAAATAAAACATGGTATTGGGCTTTAAAACAAAACCGATCTCCAGCCAGATCAAGTTGTTTGCCATTTGGTGTTTGCTTGTGCGTTTTCACAGCCAGAGACCTAATAGTGAACATGAAGCCAAGGTGATTACTACAGCAGCACATATCAGTAAAAAAATTAATGAGTTTTCGAAGGAAAAAAATCATTTTCCAGCCTATGTGTGCCGTATCTTTATGCAGTTCATGTACGCTGTGATTACACTGAGAGAAGTGATAATGCTGGGGAGAATGCAGGAGCAAATGTTCAACTGATGAGATTTTTAACCTTGTTTTGATACAATAGGACCTTCAACTTTTAAATTCATATTAATTTAGTAATGGCTACCATTGTAATTTATTAATGCTGCATTCAGAGTATGGTAGAGACATTCTTCCAGATTATAGCGCATGTAATTTCAGTCCAAAGTAGTTTCAGTTGCAAGTACTTTCATATAATATTGCCCTTTCACTTAAACGGTTTATAGAAAGCAAATAAGGTATTCCATAATCCAGAAATAAAGCTTGATGTGTTGTACAAACATGAACAGAAGCTTTTTAGGTCAATAAACATCTACTACTCTTTCATTAAGAAACCTATTATGATGATCTCTATTCCAGTCAAGTAAATAATAATCCTTACATTTGATATACGTCCTCCCGACGTGAAAAGCACTATATCAAATGCAAGGATTATTATTATTGTTATTATATAGTGCCTTTCACGTCAGGAGGTCATCTCAAAGTGCTTCCTAGGATTTGTTTTACTGTAAAGTGTAGTGACTGCATATTTTATAGGCGAATGTGTGCACTTCAATATCCCATGAAGTGAATGACCAATTTTATCTGGGAGATTGTTGGCCAGGACACAGGGAGAAACTCCATTCTCTATTCACGTAGTACCACAGGATCTTTAATGTCTGCCTGAACAACAACAAATTACATTTGTATAGCCAGGCAGGTGTCATAAGTAGTCACAAGATATATGAATGACCTCCCCTAAATTTTTAAGTATTACAGAAAACATTTCACATTGAAATTCACAAGAATCACCCATTTTTTTTTAAAAAAGGAAAACCGAATTATCTGACAAAATTGATCCCTGATGAAATGAGTAATACTGAGAAAAACTGAACAGTACAGCCTCATTCATAGAAGCACAGCAACGCTATACATTAAAAGCTGAATCTCTAGAGTATTTATAGTAATCACTCATACGATGGGATGGGAGTTATGCAAAAACATTGCGATTTGTAAATTAAAATCTTTGTGATTTTTAAGATTTTTCACACCACGATTTGAGATATCAGTTCCCTAATGCATGCAAAAAGCAGATCCCTGGTAATGAAGTAGTTTAAGTTGCTGAGCAACTCTCTCTGTTAACACCTGTTGTAATATAAGCCTTGCACACCTTATGAATACAAATGATCCAAAGACTTCATTTGCGAGGAAGAGTTTATGCCGTCCAGTAAGCTGAAGAATATCTTCAACTCTAAGGACTGAATTGGATATTTAATTGATAGCAAAAGAATATCATAATGAAAATCAAAGATCGTCTCAGCTAATAGTGTCCACCCAAGGAAACACAGCCACAGAAACTGCTCACATTTGACAGATTGTGGGCTAAATGTGCTTCAGTGATATATGGATATCTGCGGAAAAATCACCCGTTAACGTCCTTGCTTAAAAAATATTTAAAAACCTAATGTCTGAAATCTGCCTGAGGGAAATGCAAAATTTAAGCAGATACTGAATATTTACAGTGCCGTGCAGTTCATTCAGTACCTTTGGTAACTTGCTTGTCTCAAGTCACCTTTGCTAACAGCCAGGAGGGCACTCGCTGAAGATTTTGTCTTTTCATCTTCAGGAAACCTGCAGATTTTTAACCTAGCGAGGAAAAAGAACCTGGTGCCGCGTGAGTGAACATGCATTACCCAAAAAATTGACGTCTACATAAATATATTTTTATAGAATTATAAATACCATCATTACTAGTTGCCCTGTGTAGTCCCTTTGTGCCAAACCATGCTATGTGCTTTTTCTCCCTAATGTGAGAGATGTTAACAAAAGGAATACATTTTCTAGTTTTTATATTAATGTCAGACACTGGGTCCAGCAAAGGCCAGATGCTGAGTAAAGATCTGCTCTAATATATTTAAAAGCAACCTTGGACAAGAAATTCCAATTGCACCAATATGATTACAGTATTTTCTATTACCCACACTAACCATCTTCATAGTAAAAGCAAGACTAGTGATCTGGGCCAAATTACAGGCAGTTTTGTACTCTTGGAGTCGATAGTATTGGATTGAGACTGCTGAACTTTATTATACGGATGCTGCAAATTTATAGACATGAGGTGCAGCAGGTGATGAGAACAAAGTGACAAGGAACTCACGGTCTAGTAAACATCTTAGTTTTACTGCAACTTATTATTAAAACACATAAGCAAAGACTCTTGGTGCCATACAGATGCATAATTCTCAGACTGTGAAGTCTACAGTTTAAAATGCCAAATAAAATTGAAGATGTATGACATCCATTATACATAATAATGACCCCCCAAAAATGCACAATAAAACAAACCTAAGGTGGTCATTTAGCAGTAACTTTACAAAGTGTGACATTTTTCTTTTCCATCACATGAATGATTATTCACAAATTATTCCTCTTCGCACAATTTTTATTTGTTTGTGGTTTTATTGGGACGGGGGAGAAGAGGGAAAGCCAATTTAAATGAATTGATGGTAGCATTTGATTCCTGCAGGCTGCTGTATCCACAGACCTTTCATGAGGAAGATTATCTGTGTGCGTTTAGCTAAACATTCGACGTAGAAAGTTGAACAAGAGGGTTCTATAATGGTTTTAAAATAATTAATTCTGGTTTAACTAAACATGTGATAGAAAACTGTTACGACAGTCTCAGTGGTTTCCTGAATAATTTTAACAGTTTAAGGACCAGTTTTGGGTTGCTTGTGAACTTTTTGACCTGGGACAGTTTACCAGAGTTCTATCTAGTAACCTTTTACGCTCATTCTACATCCCCAATAGGTTTCATTCTTTAAAGATCATCTCCTTGGAGATCCACTTCCAATCAATTATTTCAGTTTTTAATTACTATCATTATGTTTCAACACAAACTGCAAAGTATATACTTTGAGCTGTGAGGTTTATGAACCTTGGAGTATAATACCAGTACACCATCATTAACAAAGGGTGTGTGGGAGGGAAACATGCCAAATCTTTTTACATCTGAATTCCATTAAAAGTATTATGTCTGATATTAGGTTCTCGAATACGGAGATGTCCTGGAGATAAACTTCCTTTTAAGAACAACTTTTTTTCCTTTAGTACAATTGTGATGATCTTAACAGTGATTGAATATACAAAGTTTCATGTTAACTGATTTCAGTTCAAGCTGACATTAATTTTAACCAGCTGTGGGTGTGACGGGTGAATGACCAATACACATCAATACAAAGGGGACAGAAGAAATGTTCTGTATCCACAAGTATTTTCATCACAACAAAATATTCCTTATTTAGTAACAAAATAAATTCCATATTTTTAATAAACAGACAACTGTGTCAGGGATTCAGACAGGAGGTTTGTTGCTTTAGATCTGAAAATAATTAAAAGCATCTGCATTCTCTATTCCGCAGGCTTCATGAATGTTTTCTTGATTTTACCACCTCTGGAGCTTTCTTCCGTTTCTTCATTTTCAATAGCTGATGATCGATCTCTCTTTTTGGTAAACTTATTTTTAATAGTCCCTACTAAGCTTCCATACCTGCAAAACATAAGATTTAACAGTGCTTCACTGAATGTCAGTGATATACCACATGTATAATTGCATATTATTAGGTCAGTTGGATTGAAGCTAAAGTACGAATGGAAAATACCACAAACCTGCACTATGTTGGTTGTATGTTTTTTGTTGAAATTTATAACGAGAAGGAAACAAACCTATATAACCTGCCAAACTTGGATGGATTATCAACTGGATATCAATTTTAATCTTAATTGATTTGGGGGGGATTCTAATCTTAATTTGATTTAATCTTTGATTTAGAAATTTACCATTGTAACGAAACATCTGTTTTTCATCCTGGGACGTTGATGTACATGATTTATCACATTATGAAAGGATTTGATGGGATGGATTACAAATTTTCACACCACTACAATTAAGGAATACATTTTTCAAAGACGCCTTTTCTTTAGATGAACACTAAAAACTGCAAAGCTCTCTCCTTCAACTGTCCCTAATGTCGTACAGCAACACTACCTTGTAGGAAAGAGAGCTGGTTAAAAAAGCAATAACCTGCAATGTGGCAGTACTTGTTCACCAACCTTGGAGCCTATAAAGATATGCTAATGAAAAGCCATTTGGACCATATACCTTTTATTTTACGATTCCAATTTTTACTTATAAACATACAGTAGAATTATCAGTGTAAGATAGGCTTGTAGTTATTAAGTAGTGTGATTTTATGCTCCACTGGTGTACCTGACTTTCAGATTATTGCCACATCATTAAGAGGAGTTGAGACCAGAGTATTCTATATCAACAATCAGAATTCAGCACTTTTTTTTTCTCTAGTTTAACATTCTTGTCGTGTGCAGGCTGTTGGCGATATCCGTGAAGAACAGACTGGTGTTGAAGTAATCAATCTTTTCTTCATGGATGTTTTTCCCCCAAATTCCATTACCACTACCATCCAGTGGAAGAGATGAACTGATTAATGCTACCATCAGCATATGGACCTCACAAAATTAGATTTTCTTGATACAAGTGAGGAATATTAACAAAAGTAAATGCTAACGTGAGTTGAAACAATGCAGGAATAAAAAGTTCAGAAAGATTGAATGCTCAGACACTGATGCTTCTTAACATGCCTATTGTTCAAAAAGACAACAACAAGATTACATAAGAGGATGATCAGAGGAAACCCCTCAGTAAGTCTCATCATAACTCAGATTATTTTGCAAGTTATTGATGATCCTTCATCACCAACAAATTTATATTGCACTATTCATGTCGGAAAGACGTCCCAAGGTGCTGGACAGTGAAGGGTTTACACCAGATCTGGTGGTCGCAGAGGTGGGGAAGCAAAAGACTGTGGAGGGCTTTAAACTCGAGGATGAGGATCTTGTACTCAATCCTGCATTGAACTTTGCAGAATGAAACAAATCGTATTTTGGGAGTCTGATAGATGCATCAGCCCATCTGTTCACTAAGATCACACCTTAAGCAATTGCTGCTTACCTTCTAGCCATTTCTAAATCTGAAACATCCGCCTCTATCGTTTCCTCTTCAGCTTCTTCCTTTCCATCTTCGGAATACATTTGTGAAACCAATTTCTGGAGCAAGAATAGTTATGTATTAATTCTCCACTCACTTCGACAAGTCAACATCTTGCTAAATGCAACTCTGTTGGATTGTCCTGAAAAGTACAATTGGTGGGACACAATTTGCTTTTCATGTGGAAGGATGAATATAGAGCAGGATAATAAACTTCTGTGCAGATTTACGTGTAGTACATAAGAATCTATAAAACAGGGAATGAGCATCACAGCCGATGTAGCTTATCCCAAAGTTACAAACATATCATGCAATATCACTGCATTTCCTAAAATTTTATCTAACGCCTTCCTGAATTTGCTTTCTTCTTGGACAGTCAGCTTCGTCTATTCACCATGTTCAGTGCAAAGTAATTAAACTGTCTGTTCATCTTCCCTTTTCTGAGATCAAGCCTGTGCTACTATGCTGTCTTTTTTATGGTAGTCAAAACATTATTTGGGTTCAGTATACTGTAAAATACTCTTTAAAGTTACAGTACCACCCTGGTGATAATAATCTCTGCAAGTTGTGGACATTTCCCCTCCTCCCAATACACCTTATTTCTACTAGTCTCATACCCTTCAGGTTGGACAGTCTGGATATGAGGTAACATAGACTCACGATTCGTTTTTTGTTACCACATGATGATATAACTACAAAGTCTGAATTTCCATTACTTACTTAAATGTACATTACTAATGGAAAACATGTTCTACATAACACCGGTAGATTATTACAGTTTCAATTTGTTTTAAAACGTGTAAAAAAAAACCGAAGTCTGTTTTTATTCTTTTATCAATTTTCTGCACAGAAGCTATGAACATCAACATTGACGAAGGTATGAACAAAGTCTAAAAGCTATGACCTTCACTTTAAAATTATTTCCAGCACGCTATAAATTCGGGGGCGTGCGGCAATGTGACAACATAACACTCAAACTTGTGTGAAAGAAGGCATGTGTATTTTTTTTAAGACAGACAAAGTCCTTTAGTGCTCAAAAAGGTTACTAGAAATCATAACAATGTGTTCTGTACAAACATACCTCTATTTCTGGATTAAAACCTTTAAAGGACATTCTGCCAAACAGCAAGTTTTCACATGGCACAAAGCTCTTTTCTTCTATAATATGGCTCCTGAAACAGATCATTAAGAGATAGGAGAAATAAACATTTTTTTTTAAAGTTTGTTTCGAAAAGGCAACAACTGGGTTACAGAATGTGTACACGTTACAAGTAATTGGATTTTGATTTGCCCTATAAGAGGCTTGTAAAGAAACCCGACATTTCTTGTCAATGCAACCTCTGTGCACATTGTTTAAGAGGTCCTGTTCAATCTCACAATTATGTTCTTTGCAGCGTCAGATCAAAAGACAACTGCAAAACAGATTCAACATCCACCTGAAACACAATACTTTTTCTCTCTTCTTAAGTTACAACAAAAGAATAACCTTTAAGAAATGTAAAGATTGCCTGATCTTATTTTTTTAAAAAAAGTAATATATTGGGCTATTCCATTGTAGATATTGCAAGACAAAAAAGATGAATTATCTGTCATACAGTTTATTACTTTGTAAATTATATATTCCCAAACCATGAAATCATAAAGCAATTGCATTTCTTTATGAATGACATGACAAATATATAATTATGAAATATACTGTTTACACGCTGAATCTGGAAAAAAATCTCATTTAAAGAATTTATTCTACTGTCTATTTACCAAAAACACTCAAATATAGTTATGGACACTAAAGAGGTGACATTTATAAAAAGCATTACGATTTTCAAGGTGGTGCAAGGAATATTATGATGCAGTTTATTTTTCTAGATTTATTCATCCCTCCTCTTACTAAATATATTCATTCCTTGTACAGTATCACGGAAACTTGCAGCTGGCAAACGACAACAGATATAAAGAAGGTTGAATTGCACCCAAGTTTAGAGTGATTGCTGGATGTGTTCAAGAGGATTCCATGACTCAAATCATTATAACCTTCCTGAACCCAAGTGCTAAATGCGACTGATTGAGGAGTGTGAGAATATTAGGATTTCATTATTTCCCACTAATTAATGTCACAGGACTCTCATTCCTTGATGAGTGATGTCGTGAGGCAACTGAATGAAATTAGTGTCCAAAGGGCAGTGTAAAAAGACACTGTGTTCCGGTTTTTTCAAACCTGAGGCTGGAAATCAGCTTCGCTTCAGCTTTAAGAGCGTTGCCTTAAATTTTAGATCATGCCAAATTTTGGCACATTCTTAAATTCAGTTTTAAGTTGGGAACAGGTTTGTGTTTTTTTTCCCCTTATAAACAACTGTGAAAAGCCAAGACTACATTTAAGAATTTGTCCAATATTCTACAGAACCTGAAATTTGAAGACAACAGTTTTAGCAATTGCTATTTCAGGTCTTGGATACTTCACTTTCATCCTCACAGCACTGCTGAAAGTTATACTCAGACAGCACAGGCTCTGTCCATTTTGAAGTGGTTTTAGTCCTTTTGATCATGTATGTACTAACGCAAAACACTCAGGCATTTCTGGAATAAATGGAATCCCTTCCAGACTGTCGAGGATGAATAAATGCTATCAAAGTAAATGCACTGAAGTATGATAAGAACCTTGCATAATGTTTTTGGCTCTCCTTTAACCTTCTGCTCAGAGACAAGGTGAAAAGGCAGTTGCAGAACCTGTCATCGCTATCCTGTGACCAAAGAAATTGTCTTCACACACACACACACACACAAAAAAAAAATTGAAGCTCATCAATAAATAAACTAGTTTATTTGCAATGAATTGTACGAAAATTAATGTTCAAATAAATTACTTGAGCAGTCTCAAAAATGATGTTATATTAATTTTAACATGTTTTGGATTATACTAAGCAATACAATGAAATCAATGCATAAAAATAAATAAGATTTGTTGACTGGTGGGATCTCACTGATTCTCTGAATGTTGGCTACAGTATTATTGTCCTTCAGATGTTATGTCAAACAACATGACATTTTTCCCAATAGTTTAGAGCAGCTTCTCACTTGAGGAAGCTAAAATTAGCTACATAACTACTGTAACAGTTTGTGACTTGTAAATGATCTTCTACAGCAACTAATCACAACATAAACGTGTGTAAAATTCTAAAAATAAATTGGACTGTCATGTGTAGCAGATCAACAAGGCAGAGGGGAAGATGTTACTCATTACCCAGGACATACCACAGGATTATACTCATGCAGCACCCAAAACGACATTTAGAGTAAAGACCTATTTTTGGCACTGCTCCACCGAAGACCATTGCCTTCTTGGCAGAGATTCATACAGTAAAGCTTAGAAAAGGCATGCAAACTACTGGAAGTGTCAGCTGTACAGATGCTTGCTAAGGTCACTTTGCTAAAGTTAGCTCAAGTAGTGGAATGGCTGTAGCTGAGCACGACTTTAATCATCTGGGAGATTTCGCTCCTACCAGATGGCAGCCATTCAATACATATTCCAACTAACATCGAGTCAAATTGATTTGTTAACCCGAGGTTCAAGAGTTCCTTAAGAGGGAAAAAGCATTACTTCAGTGTAGGAATGATATAGTTATGGAGCGCAACTCTCCAGAACTCTGCTTACATTCATGGTTCACCCAGTGCCTGTCCACACTAAACATATGCTCAATTTTGCAAGAAACTTTATGTATCCCATATTGAGATTCATCCCCGGATGAGAAAACTTTACCAATCAATAATTTGATCAAGTTTCTAGTCATTCATAACCAATGCATCATATATCATTCTGTATGGAATTCTTATTCTACATTGCAGTATGTTTTACAAATGAATACTTTGCTGCTCTTTTAGAAATGTCACAAGTATCACAGAAAAATGTAGAATGTTGTAAAAAGTACTTACTAAATTAAACTAAGAATGTGTGAAAGCAGTAAAGAACTCTAAGGTAAGATTAGAATCATATAAGTATCCCTTTTAGCACACATTTTAAATCAACGATTTCATCCTGGAACCTTTACTTTTGACCTGGTCATAAAATTATACTAAATAAATCTAAAAGTATTCAAAGGCAAAAATAATGGCATGGCACTTCCTCTAAAGATTTTAGCTCCACCATCGGCTCAGCAAGATTTCTCATGAGTGACTGAGCCATATCGACCAGGAAGGTCTCAAATTCAATCCTCTGTGCCTCGATAGCTCATATCAGCCAACATCCACTCTCCTGCTCACTAACCAGATTCCCTAATAGAAGCGCCCACAAGGAGATGTCAGGTAAGGACAGCATTAGACTCGGCTGCAATGTTCTCTATAAACAAATACTCTACTGACACTCCTGTCAAGGCTGCTACATTAATAATGGCTGTGGGGTAAGAGGTACCAAAGGGTATCCAAAAAGGAGTCAAATGGTTCCAGGAAAGGAGTGAAGGTGAGAAAACAAACAGAGCAAACAAAAAAAATCCACACAATAATAGTACTTTCTTCCTTTTTTATATACACCATATACGAAAAATATATATTCCTATATATATTCTTAAAATATATATTTTCACCCACAAAATATACAATCAATTCACTTTACAGTATATTCTGTGAAGCGCTTTGAGACGTCTTGAAGATGTGATAAGGCGCTATATCAAATGCAAGGATTATTATTATAATGCTGGGTATTTCATTGGGATAAAGTTGATCAAGCTGAAAAAGTTGATATTTACAGTTTAAATTCTAATAGAATAATTCTCTTCTAGGCCAGTATTAAAATATTTACCATCGTCAATTGGTTCAATGAACATTCCACACTCAGTTCTATAGGTATCCATGGAGAAAGAAATCACTTGAATTGGCTGGAATTAAAGAAAACCAACCCACAAATGTTTTATATTGGGGTTTTATTCATTTTTAAAAATTAAATAGTAATTTGACTGACAATATTTCAACTCTCTAAGAACTGAATTCCCTTTACAGTTTTTAGAGTGTATTTAATACTCCAGGTTAATCAGTCATTCACCTCATGAACAATTGTAGGATCTTGATGGTGCCAGCGGCTGTTGTTTTGTAAGCAAAAAACACAATTATTACACTTGACAGTAATTCCCTGTAAAGCAATTTGAGACATTTTGATGTTGCCAACTGCTGTGAATATCAGAACGACCAGGTGCTATAATAATGCAGGTTCTTCCCATATTAGCCATATCGTTACAACAAGCTGCATTAATGTCAATTGCTGAAAGCAAACTCGAGTTCCCCATTTACACTATATTTCTTTGAGATGTCTAGAAGACGTGAAAAGCTCTATATCAAATGCAAGGATTATTATTACTATTATGTCTCTCGGTAACCAGAATGAATTGGAGCTCTACACAATCATCTCTATTTGGATCTCTGGGAAGGAAAAGACCATTTCATCTTCCACACAATTTGATCACTAGGACTGACACAGGTGTTTCAACTAAATTCCTGCTATTGAGAATTTGATGAAAGACTTGAGGATAGGGCTGGTACATTGATGTAGACTGTAAAGCACTAACCTACAAGCATTTCCTTTTGAATATTTGTATTACTTTAACTAATAGCTCACGTCTAAACCTGTGAGTGCCCATCTAGCAGTAAATATAGTCACAATGTTATTTCCGAATACTGAAATCAATGGGCAAACATTTTAATTTCAAATCCCAAGTGACAGTCAGATTGTCTCAAGATATGATTCTGCAATTTTAGAAATTGTAAAACTGAAATAATAAATCCTCACAAAGAGCTGCTCACTTACTCATGTTCTTTCAATTCTGGTAAATCCAGATACCAGTGTTCGGCATTAATTATCTTTTTTTCTTCCTCTTCCAACTGCTTCTTAGTCTCTGTATCCAAACTTCTCTGCATAAACTGAAAAGTAAATCAAATACAAAATAACAATTGTGCCAAGAAACAGCAAAGTTAACAAAATGTTTGTTAGCATCAAATGGACACAAAAAACAATATTAAAGTGCGAACAAATCAAATAATTCCAAGTTAAAAGTGATTCCATAGGGCTAAGGACTATTACATTTCTATACAAACATCTGAGGCAATCTCAATTGATAGAACTTCAAGGTTGAATGTTCTTTACTAAAAATTTAGCAAGATGATGTGGCTACAGGGCTATCAACAATGAAGAGAAATTACCGACAAAAAAGGATCTTTTTCGAAGCGTAACCATTTTCATTTGGTACTTTAATTGAAATCAATGAATGACAATCTTATAAGCAGTACGGGACAAATAATGCTTCACAAACAATAACCAGATATTGAAAACAGATCAAGGCATTCTAACCTACAATAAAATAGCTCTACAGAATTACAAAAGAAAGGGGTACTTATATTTCTTTAGTGCTGCTAATCTATCACTGAAATAATCACTAGGAAAACAGGGATTAAATCAATGTATTCTTAACAGGTCTAGGTAATATTAAAACACTTTGTTGCAGACCATTTGCTAAACACTTAAGGAAATTCAAAGAAATCAACTTGCACTTAATTGGCATTACTGCTGCTTGTCTTAATGAGTTTTCAGTCAACTTAAACGAGAATTTGTAAGAACACTTTAAATCAACACGATAATAAAAATAACACTTAGATTCACACCACAATAATGATAACTGTTGCTCGTATATTTCCTCCAGAAAAGGAGAGCTGAATATGTTGATTTAATGAGAAGGGAGGGGAAGAAGAAATGATAGCCTCACATCGAGCTTCAGGTTAAAATTACTGAAGTTCCTAAGCAAGCGGATCTGCAGTACTCCAGGGCACTGCAATGACAACACAGCCAGCCGAGCACATCAGCAGCACTTGGAAGGCAGTCCAGTCACTGGGGGCAGGGAATCGTCCCACTCAGCTCCTGTTAACTCTGCAATCCAAAGCCCTGCATTGTTGGAAGTGCTGTCCTTTGGTTGACATGATAAATCAATATCCTGTCCGTCTGTCAGTTTAGGACATTAAAGATTCCACGGCACCCCCGGACAACAATTCCCCAGTAAAATTGGTCACTGCCTTCTGGACGGTTCGTGGAACATTGTTTTGTGCGAACTGTCTGCTGCGTTTGCAGATACAATGCAGTTACTACACTTTACAGTAAAATCCTGTGAAGTCCTTTGAGATGTCCTTGTGACATGAAAGGCAATACTGTATATTAAATGCAAAGATTAGTATTTATTATTGTACTTAGTTAAAAGACTGCCAACAGTGTGGGAATTTATTTGTTTTATAGCAAAAGGTAGAAGGTAGACAACCGTGAAAAGTTAATTTGCTAATTAAGCCTTTCCAGGCAGAGGGCGAAACTTTGGGCAAGTTTCCTTACTCCACACAGAGCCTAATAATAATCCCTCCAAAACAAAACAATAATAAATTGGTCATTTTCAATCCACGACTGTTTGTGGGACACTGCTGTGCGCAATTGGCTGCCGCGTTCGCCCACAAATATACAGTCAATTCACTTTACAGTGTGTTCTGTGAAGCGCTTTGAGACATCTAGAAGACGTGAAAAGCGCTATATCAAATGCAAGGATTATTATTTTAGCTGACTCTCTCAGGACTTCTAAACTTGATCTTTTGTGTTCAGCAAATCAAATTGGGGTGAAAATATTTACATGACAGGGTACCTTCCAAATTTTATGTAGCACTGCAGCTCCTGGCTGAACTCAACTAACTCAACACAGGATTTGAACCTTAATCTTCCCATCCTTATAACCCAATGCCTTCCAAAGCCACATCTTTGTCTTCTCAGGCTGTAAGTAAGTGGCTATGGTACATCTTCAAAAAGAGAAGCATATTTATATGCGCAGCATACTTCTAAACATATACAAAAAGTCAGTCATGCAATTATAATAAATGTGTGACATAATTTGGCAGTGCCATTGTTAAATTGTTAAATAAAATAGTTGTGTGTTGTTTCTGTAGGAAAGAATACTATACACAAAATACTATACAATTCCTTAAAATCTGATTATTGCAAAAAGAAATCCTTTGCTTATATCTCATTTCAACTTTTGATAAATGGACCAGCTTTCTGATGCATGTTAAAGACTGATGATACAAATGTGTGTTGAAATGCTGATGGCTCTACAATTTCTGCCAAGCAATATTAGCTTTGAAGATACCTCATACGCTTAGGACATAAAATTTAATACAAAGCAATTACGGTGCATTCTAGCGTGTATGTAAAATTTATTAGTCCAGCACAAATTTGCAGAGATTTAGCTTGGTTAGCAGTCTACTAGGAATAAATGCATTGCTTAAAACTATCAAACATTGGTTGGATTTTTACTTGCTTGAATGATACATGACATATGGAACAAGTAGTTATTGTCAATCCAAGATTTAGCACCAACAACAAACCATCAGTCACCTTTATCTATATTGGCTAAGTGAGTCTTGCCACCAACCAAATATTCATTGGTCAAACAGCAAGGTCAGGATGGCCATTATATGACGGAGACTGTAGCATTGCAGGGTTTGGTCCAGGTTTGTAGTTCACACAAAAATGCCTGTCCAGTGTTTCATTTTACATGACATGGCTCTTTGCATGACAAGTGTTTATTTCCAAATGATCATCCCTTTTTTTGATTGAGTCATTAATTTTGATCCTGTATACGATTCAGATAGACATTTAAAGACCTGCTACTTTTCAAAAGAAATGAACCATTTTTTTCTTGGTTTATATTCCCTCCTCCTCCAAATTCACCTCAAACATCAAATTAATTGCCCGCTGATTTCATTGGTGTTTCTAGAACATTTCTAGTGCAAAATTGCCACATTTCTACATATTGATTCTATAAAATGATTCTTTTCCATGGACGGCATGTGTAAATGCAAGTGGTTAGAATTGATGGCTCTCATTGATTGCCCCATTTGCCTACCTACCTGACAACAGCCACCATATTTCAAAGAAACTCACTGTGTTAAGCATTTTTAATGTTTCGACATGACACGTCAGAGACTTTGAACTTGTAGTCTAGGCTGAAAATCCAAATGCAGTGCTGGGGGAGTGCTATATTCTCCACGGTGTCGTCCTTCAGCTTAGACTTTAAACTGAGGTCCCAATTGCCTGTTCGGGTGAACGTTTAAAAGATCCCTCGCCACCATTCAAAAGAAAAGGATCTTTCACGTCCACCGGAACAAGATGGCCGAAGAAGAGGGCTACGTCAAATGCAAGGATTGTTTATTGAACATTACTAGCTTCTGTGCGACCCAGATAATATGTTGGTGGCTGGGTCGCCTCGATTCCAGGGGGGAGAGAGAGAGAGAGAGAATAATAATCATCCTTACATTTGATACAGCCCCCTTCACATTCGGGAGACGTCTCAAAGCACTTCACAGGGCTTACGTGGAGTCCTGTAGCTCAGTGGTTAGAGCACTCGCTTTGCAAGCGAGAGACCTGAGTTCAATTCCAGGCAGAGGGCGAAACCTTGGGCAAGTTTCCTTACTCCACACAGAGCCTAATAATAATCCCTCCAAAACCAAAAACAATAATAAATTGGTCATTTTCAATCTACGACTGTTTGTGGGACATTGCTGTGCGCAATTGGCTGCCGCGTTCGCCCACAAATATACAGTCAATTCACTTTACAGTGTGTTCTGTGAAGCGCTTTTGGGACGTCCTCCTGACGTGAAAAGCGCTATATCAAATGCAAGGATTATTATTATTATTACTGTAAAGTGGAGTGACTGTGTGTTTGGTAGGCAAGCACAGAGTGGGGGGGGGGGTGGGGGTGAAACGTAGCAGTAGCAATAATAATAATAGTAACAATCCTCGCATTTGACACGGCGCCTTATCAGGTCGTCGAGACGCCTCAAAGCGCCCTTCACAGGGAATACGCCGTCGAGTGTTGATTTTTTTTAAAAAAACCCGCGCGGGCGGGCGGGCGGGTGACACGTGTAATACGCTATCATAAGAATAATCTTATGATGTTATAATAATATATCCTACCATAATATATTGTTAGAATATTATTATTTGTATACCAGCATATTATTACTAGTAGTTTGGCGCCGGACGGCCGGCCCTGCTGCTGCTCGTGATGATAATATAGTATCATAACAGTAATAATAATAATAATAATTCAAAGAAGAAAAAAGGGGGGGTCAGAAATGGGGTCTGAGGCGGTGGTGGTGGTGGAGGGGGTGACATTTCAGGTTGGGTTTCAGTTATCCAGTACCGGGCTCTTCCCTTTCTGGTTGCAGTCGCCTCCTTGTCGGGGAAACTCACTCACTCACTCACTCACTCACTCACACGCTCATGGTCGGCCTCCAACCCCCACCCCCCTTCATCCAAGAGTCGGCCTCAAATCTACGCGAGCTCCGGGCTTCTCGGGCCTCCGCCGCGCGTGGCCTTACCTTCATTTTGAGCAGGTTTTTCGACAGCTTCATGGTACTTTCTCTCGCCATTTCTCCCCCTCCCCCTCCCCCGTTAAATCATATGTTAAAAAAAAAATAATCCACAATGTCGCAAACAAAATAAGAGATAAAACCTCCGTCTCTCCTCTCCGTCTCTCTCTCTGTCTCTGTCTCTCGCGCGCGCTCGAGAGCTTTCCCGCTCGTCCCCCCCCCCTCTCCCCGGGCCCCGCCCCCTTCTCCTCTCCCCGGGCCCCGCCCCTTTCTCCTCTCCCCGGGCCCCGCCCCCTTCTCCTCTCCCCGGACCCCGCCCCCTTCTCCTCTCCTCGGGCCCCGCCCCCCTTCTCCTCTCCCCGGGCCCCGCCCCCCTTCTCCTCTCCCCGGGCCCCGCCCCCTTCTCCTCTCCCCGGGCCCCGCCCCCCTTCTCCTCTCCCCGGGCCACGCCCACCGAAAACAGCCCCGACCAATCGATCGACTCGGCCCGACCCGACCCTCGAGCGGTGCCAGCCCACACAATCGATCGCCGACACCCAAACACCTGCTCCCAAACCCCCTCCCCCTCCCCCCCCTCCCCCCCCCCTCGGAAACCCGCACACAGTGGTAGTGATCACAGTGCTGACACCAAATCATCATCATCATCATCATCATCATCAGCGTCGTCATCATCCTGGGCAAAGAGCGCCCCCCGCCCCGCGCCCCCCGCCCCGCCCTGCGCCCCCCGCCCCACACCCCCGCGCCCCGCGCCCCCCGCCCCGCGAGTGCAAGTTGTTGTTGTTGTTGGTGATGATAATCAGGGATGAGTGGTTTGACCTATGAGCAGAGACGGGAGGAATTTGGCCTATTTTCACTGATACGAAAAGTTGAGGGTGGAACCTGATAGAGGTCTTCAAAATTGTGAGCGGTTTTGATAGAGTAGATGGGGAGGAATACATTCCGTTGGTCGGTGATACAGTACCTGGAGGGCAACAATGAGATGAATTACCAAAGGAGCAAAGTGGGGCATTAGGAAGCAGGTGGACAATAACATCTGATTGATATCCCTGTGAGGGAGGGATGTCTCTCCTCAGGAGATCAACTAAACCCATGTAATTCCACTATTGCTGATAACCTTTTGCTTTATGATTGCATAACACCACATCAATGCAGTGTGATTTTATTGTGATCTGAGCAATGACATTTCTCAGACTCTTTTGATTGCACTGATTACCATTTCTTACATGGCTGCTTCAGTCGTTTACTGTTCCCAGCAAAAGAAACAAACTTCCTAGCAAAACTTCATATTAATTTTAGGGTTAGAAATAGCTCCCGATCCTCCATATATCCAACTGTGTTACTTCCTAGCAATCAACTCTACATTATAAATTTGTACATTAAAACAATTTTGCCTCAATCATATAAATTGTACAGCACGGGCGTCATCATAAATCAACTTCACAGTGTGTTCTGGAAGATAGTGTCCACCTTAATGCCTGCCTGCAAAATGCAAGAGCCCATGTTATAAAATATAACAGATATATGGCAGTTATATCAAGGCTGTAATCTCATCCTGCGGTTCTCTTGACAGCTTGAGCCTTGTGCTTTACAATGTCATGAATCACTACTCAGATTACTGCCTTGTATTTGCTCCCATGTATCTCTTACTTATTTAATTTCAGTTAACAATACATTACGCAGAACACTTCGCAACAGCAAATATACATTCACTTAACAAGAATTCACCACAAAACATATCAATAGTGAATACACAGTCTTCTGTGAAACAGTGTGAACAAAAAGTAATCATGACACATAGCTGTTTGGCAATGGGGACATCATTAAACTTTATGAGTATTGTATTATTACGCCCTATATTCTAGGCGCCATGAAAACCTATTTTGAAACGTTGAATTCGTTTTCCTCAACAGTTCTGCAGCACGGTGGAGGTGTGGTGGAATACAAGAGCACTGTGTGATGAGGTCAACATGCACCCTGTACATTTCATATTATACAATATATCATGGAGGACGTGAGGTGCCGTTTCCTTGCCGGTAGCTATCGTGCTTGATTGCTCTTAAGCATGGTGATGGGTTTCTGCAAGTGTCAGACAACCGGCTGACCCTCCCAAAAATTGATACCACTGGCCAGCTTGATGAGCTTGGTGCATGACAGTAAAACACAGAGGCCCAAGTAACTCCATAAAACACTGTATCCAACAGTTGTTCATTCAGTGGTATGCGTGCTCACTTTTGCTACATAACTAGAAATATACCTCATACATCAAAGAAACACTGAATACAGAAAATATTCAACCAGTGATTGTCATAAGTGATAGAGTTGTAGGCTGGGTTGTATTGAGCAAGCATTAAGTAGAATACTTTCCCAATCCAATACTTGGGTGATGGATGTTCTGTCCAAACCACAAATATGCTAGCAAATTGTGTTAATATCTTTTTTCAAGTTGAACACTTTTTCTCCGCGTTATATCTTCAGCAGACAGGTTTCAGTTATAAGATCCCACAGCGTTGAATGGATCTCTTACTCTGTATCGTTCTTCCCCATTTCCCTTTGCTGCATTTGACATGCTTTTGTGGTTTGCATTTCAACTTTTTTTATTTCCCCACTTGTCTTGCTTTTCTCTTTCTCCAACATCATCATTTTTACTCTTTTTCCCCTCCCCGACTATTACAATTCATCTCTGCTTCTTATTGAGTGGCATCCTTGGCTCTATTTTCTGCTGTCTTGCATTCATTTCCCTCCCCCACTTTCAAATTATTTTTCAATCATTGCCTTGTTAATGTCCCTTTCACCCCTCCAGTTGTTTCCCTCTCATTTCTTGGATAGTTACTTCCTGTACTGGCGATATTTGCCTCTAATCTCACACTCACACCATCACCACCTGTTGCTTCTAGTCAGTTTCCAAGACTGGACTTTATTTTACAAAACTTATTGTTTTATTGTACTGAATATACGGAAGCATTACTTTTGATTGATTAACTGATTGTAACTTGCATAACCTTGTTAATTCCCATTAATACTATTGATCGATTGACAACAACAACAACTTGGATTTATATAGCGCCCTCCGCGCCGGATGGCGAATCAGAGCGCTTCACAGTAACGGATCCCGGGGCCGAGCCACGGGGAGGGGGAGGAAGGTGACCAAAGGGGCGGTCGTAAAGAAAGGTCTTCAGCAGAGACCTGAAAGTGGGAAGAGAGGGGGCGAGTCGAAGGGAGTGAAGAAAGGAGTTCCAGAGCCTCGGGACGTAGTGCCTGAAGATACGGCCGCCGATGGTGGAGCGGAGGACTCGGGGGACAAGGAGGAGGCCAGATCCAGTGGAGCGAAGGCAACGGGGAATGTTGTGAGGAGAGAGGAGGTCAGAGAGTTAGGGGGGGTGCAGAGGAGTGGAGGGATTTGAAGACAAGGGTGAGGATCTTGAAGTCGATCCTCTTTGGGATAGGCAGCCAGTGCAGTCTGGCAAGGAGTGGGGTAATCGGGAGCGGAATTGGAAAGAATTTGTGTCGGTCCTTACTTCACCCCAGGGTCAGATATATGAGAATCCTTACATAATGGAAAGCACAAGGAAGAAGAACAACAATTGGCGCATATCCCTTTTCTGTAAGAGAACATTTCAAAGTGCTTTACAACAGTGTAGTAGGAACTTTGTTCTGAAAGCAAAGGAAAGCTTCTGAAAAAGCACTGTATTTATCTCCTACATACATGCTGCAATCTTGAATTAACTATGAGTGAGTGTGTGGGTGAGGGGAGGGTTCCTAAAAGTGATTGTATTTGATTCTTGATAGAGGTTCAATAATATACCTTTGTATTCCTAGCAACAAACAAGATCAGTTTTGCCTTGAATAACCATACAGTGGTTGGCAATCTTACACTGTGCGACACATGTACACGTGTTATTCCTCTGGTGTACAGCTAAGTGATTCAACAGAACTGTGGAGTCCCACATTTCTTTTCACTGACAGGGCCTCTCAGGTGGCTTAGTCACTTACCAATCCTCTGGAGAGAGATACAGTAGTGTCTGCATCAGATTTCCTAGGTACAGGTAAATTAGATAATTGCTTGCCTAAAGGGATATCTTTGTTTTATAAAATTGCCTCTCTCCCCATTCACTTTAAAGGTTATCTGTTCATCTTATCCAATTTCCAGCCTCTTGCCAAACCATCTCCAGAGCAATGTGCAATCTGGGTTAGTGCGCTTTTCTCATGCCTCATTCATCTGATCAGACCCACAGATATCAACCAGATCTCCCGTGACTTGTTAAAACATAAATGATACAGCAAAGGTTCCTGCTCCCCGTTTTGATTTGCCCTTTATAAATGCGCTGGAACTATTAATTCTTTCTCCATAATATTTTTAGTGCTCGAACATGACCCAGCAACCCAACCTTCACTTCAGATTTTTTTTTACTTCCCATTGCGTAAAATAATACAATTTCAATACTTGGTGTGCTCCTTTGAAGATATTGCCATCTTCAGAGTAAGAGATGAGTGTGCGATATAAGAGATAGCTGGCAGTGCTTGAAAATCACAAACACACACACAAACACATCACTCCAGAGGCAACAACCATTATATAAAGTGTTGTAAGCCCAGGTAAACAAGTTGAAAATGTTACACTCGAATGTTTAACTGTGGGCTCAGGAAACCTTTGCTGAAACAAAACCTTGACTGTCCAGTGCCTTGGGACGTCCTCCTGACGTGAAAGGCGCTATACAAATGTAATTTGTTGTTGTAGTTGACCCCATCCACTAAAATTAACACTCAATCTAGATTCAGCTTTCTTCACTGCTTCGCTTACAAATACACGGTCACTGCACTTGATAGTAAACCCTTCGAAGCACTTTGAGACAATTCGATAATGTGATAAGGTGCTATAACACTGTAGTTCCTAATAAAACCCACAGAAAACTGGCTTCAAAAATTAAGGCTGCAATTAAGAAATTGTCAATTCTGGATGATCTAAAATGCTACATCAATATAAATAAAATTCCTAAGCCAGGATGGAATTTCTCTTCTGCCAATAATTCTGAAATTATAAATCTATAGCATCCGACGTGATAAGGGGCTACATCAAATGCAAGGATTATTACTGTATTATTACATTCCTACTCCTACCCCTAGACCCACCTTGTTTGGAAATTGTCTGAGAAGCAAGAAACTGATTTAGAGTCTTTGTTGTGAAAGACATTGGTTGATTTTATTTGTAGATTAATGATGAAGGTAATTCGCCA